AAATTTTACACATTACAGTGGTACCTTTCCCATAAACTGAAACGAAAAATATCAAGAGCTAGAAGCAAATAGAGAAATTTCCTTTAGTTTTGCAATTTTTGAGCATACTCAAAGAAGCCTAGAAATGACACAGAAAATGCGGGAAAGTCATGGACATGGATTTTGTGAACTTCTCTTTCTAGCTGAGAATGTTTCGGGCTAATCAAGAGCAATTTTGATTTTCGTGAAGAACGCACTCCCGAAAATCCGAAAAAGTCACGATAAACAAAATTGCTCTCGATTAGCTCGAAACTTGTTCATTTAGAAAGAAAAGGTCACAAAACCCCTGCTCATGACTTTCCCGCATTTTCCGTGTCATTTCTAGGCTTTTTTGAGTATGCTCAAAAATTGCAAAACTAAAGGAAATTTCTCTATTTGCTTCTAGCTCTTGATCTTTTTCGTTTCAGTTTATGGAAAAAGCACCGCTATGTGTAAAAATTTCTCTATCAAATAAATACACTTCCAGAATTTTTCGCGATCCAGCTTGAGAAATGCAGACATTGATTGATTTCATTCAATTGCCTCTAGCTCTGGAACTTTCTAATGCCAATTCTTGATAAAAATACTGTTGTAAAGAGAAAGGTTTCTCTTTCAAATGCAGTTAAAATCGAGAAAATCCATTGTTGAGTGGCAAGGAAGTTACGATTTTTTGAAAATCCGGCGCAAGAACTTTTGGGACAATCTTATAAAAAGCCAAAATACACACTGTTTGACTGCTAATATCTTCCTTCACGCAAAGTCTTTTGCCAAAGTACTATTCTCTAGGGCCGGCTACAGCTTACGTTCACACTACTCACACAGAAACTTTTTAGTATTGTGGGACCACGGTAGCAACTTCTAGCATGAAGAGCCACTGCAAAATGTGCCGTTTAGAACTCCAAAAAATCCAAAAACTTTTGCAGAGTTTTCACGTACGTATGCTAATTTCACTAGACCACTTTTCACAAAATTTTCGAGTTTTAAAAATGTGTAACAACGTATTTGAAGGATCATTGGAAAACATTTATAACTGTGTACCTGGCGTTGCTTATGAAAGAGCACTACGGTTAGATGCGGATTTTGCGGCAGCTGTTTGTGTTCATACCTTGCTTTCATTGAAAAGATCAGTACGCCCCTAATGCCGGCCAATTTCCCCAAAAAGCGCTGATTTTTACTTTTTCAGTGCAGTTCAAAGAACAAAGGGAGAATTTCTGTTTTGATCTACTCTCCTTGTAAGCTCAGACTTTCCCAAATGACTGAGTTTCGGATTAGTGCTAACTGCATAGCGAAGTGCAAGAAACTCTGCGCTATCTATTCGTCGAAAAATCAAATTTTATAGAATACAATACCGAAATGAATCAGGAAAACATAAGGTCGATGCAAAAGTTGACCATCCAAATCACAAACCTTGATAATTTTGTCTTAAAAGCAGAAGAAGACTTGCGCTTTACGAGAGTGGTTTATTCGCACTCTCGTCGCACTTAGAGAAACGAACTTTCCGAAAAAGGCACTTCGATCTTCATGGTTTTCAATTTGGTTGTTACAAAAATAAGAAAATCGCTAAAAGTGCCGTTTCACACAAGATTCCTGTTCCTGCGTTTTTCAACAAAAAAATCATCGCCCAAGAAAACTCACGTTTTAGATGGTCTTGGTCAAGTTTCTAATCTCGTGCTGTGTTCCCGCGAGAAAAATGCATTATCAAATTTTCCGTAAAATGACCTTTCTCAGGAATTTTTGTATTTGCATACCGTGCGAGAGTGAGGAATGCTACAGTGATGTACGAACTACTGTCATGGAAAAAATTTTCACATATTTTCTGGGCTGCTAGCGGCACTATAGTGTACTTGAAATCAAACCCTAAATCACGATTTTTGTAGAGCCAAATTTAGAAGCCTTGTGCTCTCGATGCCAATTGAAGCACCAGCGTGAAGCGCAAGTATCCTCTTTTTTGAGTAAAATCCACTTCATAAGTTTCTGGTAAACGAGGTTCAGCTGTACAAATCAGTTTAAAACCGACACCGCCTGGTTAGCTGTTTGTATTATACAATGCCCCTAACGGATTCGAAAGGTGGGGATATCAGGGCCCAGCACGAGATAGCTTTCCGAAAATGCAACAAAAAAAACGAAGTCCTCTTGATTTTCCCAACTTTTACGAAGCCCCTTTGACCCTAAACCATAAACGTAAAAAACCTTAAAAAAAACGAAACGTCGATTAGAAAACGTGACCTAGGTTGTGTTCTTTCGGCCATAATAATGGCAAAAACGATATTCCCTTTGCTTTTTTGCCCCAAAACGATATCCAGCTTGCTAAGTCATCTGTGCCAAGCCTGAGGAAGGTACAAAGTATTAAACTACTGTCTTACAGTTCAGTCTCGCTTTCACCACATCAGTAGCGGCGGTCATTCTCGGAATGATGACATTTGCATGCAACGCACTTATTGTATTGAAGCTCTCCCTCAGCAATGCCCAACATCTGAGGAGACAAACGGCAATGACTATTTTTGTTCTGCTGACAATGCTCAACACCATGACCTACGCTTCGATGCAGGTATTCCGGAACTGCCATTGACTTCAATCAAGAGAAATACTTACAGGCCATTTTATATGCATCGAAATATGTCTTTACCAATCAGTCTCTAAATCGAACAGTGTTCCTACTCAGACCCTACACTATAGACATTCTTATTTTGCCAAGTGCTTGGATGCTACCATGTTCAAGTCCTAAGATAAGAAGATTCTACATGAAGCTTATTCGGACGACTTTGAGAAAATGGGGTGCTCCTCTCGCCGATGATAAGACAACAAATGCCAGGGATTGCACTCTTTTTCATGGAAAATTATTTTATGAACGCCAGACTGAAAAAAGAAGCTGAGACTTGCAGAACTCTAGGCTAACATCACATGCCGACGGATCTCAGGCTTACAGCTAGACGTTGACTCCATAGACGACCAAAAAGTCCTGACACTGACAAATTACCACTTTCTGTGACTCCCAACCGGGACCAAGCATGAAATGACTCGGAAGATTTCGAAAACGAAGTTTTCTGAACTCGACAAGACAGACCTCGCATAGTCTTCACACAACCCCTTCAAATGTAGGCTACGGCTCGAGAAGGAGCAATAGCTTTGGGGGCGAACGCGGCTCTATCAGTCGAGGCGCAGGGTTTACATTGGCGAAGATACGCGCGCAATGCGTTCGCGCCCACTCAACTAATACTGCTTTTGAGCCTTCGTCCTGCAGTAGCCCTTACCATAAGAAGAGGTGGGAGCTACAATAGCAAAGTACCAGGCTGGACCAAGTTTCTATCGTTTGTTGAAATTTAGTAGCTTACACCTCAACGAAATTACCTTTCGGAAGGTCAAGAGGGAGGGTAGCACACACCCATGATTTGCTCTTTCCGTCTCATATCTAAACTTTTTTGGGACTCAGGTAAAAATGACGGCAGCAGAATATGGCAATTATCTCGAAATATACAAAATATAACTCGATAACACCATTGGAAAAGAAGAAGAAGGTACATCAAACACATGTTTGATTAATTTCGTATATATGACGCTTTAGTCTTGTCTGAAAAGCGAACCCATATTGTTTGAAATCGGGTACTTGTTGTTATGTAGTTACACGTTTCAATTCAAATAAAGGTTTTTTATTCGTCCTACTCTAGAAAATTGCTAAAGCCGTCTGTCTTTTTGTATGTCTGTGTAAATGTGTGTCATGAAATTCATCGAATATGTCACAGCCAAGGTCTCGGGCCACAATAATTCTGCATAACGCTTCCGTTGAATGGGGTCAGTGGGAGGGGAGGGGGGACTACTGGAGCACATTCTCAGGGTTCAGCGCATAAAGTGGCAGGTGGAATTTGGGCTGTGCAGTTGGGGGGGGGGGTCTAATACCTGATACCACCAAGATGTGACAGGGTCCGTTACCCAGCCATGCCTTTAACCCCAGAAGTGACTTAAATGTCCATTTTTGCGAGAATGGCGCCACATTAAAATGATTGCGTGAACCGCCGCTTTGCCTCCTCAAGAAACAGAGACGATTTTTATCAGACGTTAGCTCACGTTGGTTACCGTCCTTTCAACTCGCAAGCCATAATTCGCTAAAGTGATACAAGTCAGCATTTATAATTCTGCACAATGTTATCGATTCTACATAAAAAGGCTGAAAGGAGTTCTTTACAATTTGATCGTGATGACCAGCATGCGATGAGTTTCAAAGTTATAATGCGAGCACGAGGAAGGCATATAGAAACCAGAACTTGACAAGCATCTGCGAAGCAAAGGCAAGGCCTGGTAATCGAATGACTGCATTTCTCAATTCACGAATAAGTGGATACAAGATAAGCGCTTTACTAATGATTAAATATTCAAATGTACAATATCCTCCTATCCACACATTCGCTACTATGAGAAGCAAAGCAATAAGGGTGAAAAAAGAATATCGTTTTTTCAATTCTTCTTCGACAAAAATTGACATTTCTGAACAACTACAGCATGCGCAAGCATGTACAAAGCTAAAACCTTATGGTTAAAGTTCCAAAGATTTGTAGCATATACTTGTAGCAACTGCTTATATGAGAGGAACTTAGGACTGCTGAGGGCAGAATTTACCAAGCTTTTTATTCTTTCTTAAATTTTGAACATAAAAAATTATACTATCAAGTGTGTGAATGGATGAGTGCATGTTTTAAAACACACAGAAGTAAGTAAGATATTTTTACGAATTTTGAGGGCAAAGATCGGACTTTGGCGTCATAAAATTTTCATGGATTTGCTTTGGATTCCGCGATAAATTACGAATACCGCTATTTAAACAATGTTGTGTTAGGCTTGCTTCGCTCCATCGGTACTCAAACATTTTTTGGGTTCTTGCAGCTTTAGAACGAAAAAAAAACGTTATTTTTTTCAGCCCAATGACTTTGAATGACGAAGCCGATCCCTTTTTTGACTAGATTCAGAAGAAAAACTTATAGAGATCTTACCTCTTGCGGCGATTTCTGGTGACTACTCTCTATAGCTTTTGCCTTGGTGATTTCATACTGCATTATTGCTCCAACTGAGCCGTCGACGATTTTGCTGTAAAATTGATGATAGTGCAACGTCTCATGATGGTAAAAAAAAACAGATCACGCGATTCAACCCTTGACGACAAGGCGAGCCATCTGTGGTACCAATTAGGATAGGACAAGAGCTCATATTACTCAACGCTTGATAGAGACAGTTTTTTTTTTCAAAGAATAACGCTGCACACTTTGCTAAGCGAACCCCTGCGTTGGAGAAAGCAATCTTTGCGACGGGCACAAATTGCTTAAAATCTCGTTGTTGTCAATGCGTTAATGACCAGCACAGTAGGTGTCGATAAATATGTTTCTTTTTCCATTCCAATTTCAAAATTGTTATTTTATAGGTACACGTTTTATCTCTGAGACAAGAAAATCGGTACACATCCTCTTTCAAAGAGGATAGAACAGATTTTTTTATAGAAATGAGCGTGCATTATGGTAATGGAAAGGCCGTTTGATTTTCATCGGCACGTATATAGCATCCGCTTTCTCTGAGTTTTTATTAGTTACTCCGCCATTGACAAATAACGAATAGCCCACTTCTCAATTTCATAGTATTGCAAACATCAATCCCAACAAAGTTTTCCGAAATTGATTTGCACGAATCATATCTTCTTTCGCCCGCATCTGCTGAAACTATTTCCAAGTTACACTTTTTGCGTATAGCAAGAAAAACTCAAATTTTGCGTATTGTGAAACAACAAAAAATTTGCATCACCCTTTCCATTCTATTATTTAACTTTAAACACATCTAAGCGGCAATTCGTTTGCAACTTAACTGTAGTGCTCAAATTCTACTTTTCAAACCCTCATAAACAAATAAGTTGAGACGAAAGTTCTGCCGCGCCTTTCAAATATTCTTAACTCTGACATTCTCAAACAATTTGCTTGCTACTATTTTTGTTCAAAGGACTCATGATCCTTATCATAATATTTTGGCGGCCTGCTGAGCATACATTGCATATGAAAAACGGTAGAAAAAATCACTCAAATTCTGATTTTTCCGACTTTGCTCAAGAAAAAAAACCTGAATCTTGCAATAAATGGAGAAGTCGGTATTACACGCTCCATTACTTGCCTTTTTAAACAGAGTATGTGCTGATTGAACGTCATCAAGAGAATTTACAGGGTTGGGGGAAAGTCTTTGAACATGGTATTTTTAACGTAATGATGAAGCTAGGCAAGATCATTATATGAAATCGATAGGTAATGTCTACTTAACTGTCTGCTACACAAAACTGGCTTTACAATTCAAAGATTTTTCCTCTGACGCGAGCACAAGCTCGAAAACGCTTGACGCTGTCCATGATGGCACGGAGGTGCTTCACGTCTTTTCTTCCAACGCCTTCTGAAGAGCAAGTCGCAGAGATTCCACTGTCTTGCGTGGGTGAGCGCAGGCTTTGGTCTAAAGAACTGACCAAACCCTATAGTCGAGGGGATTCAGATTGGGCGAAAACGGAGGCCATTCCGTAAGAGTAGTAAAGACCTTAAAGTTGCTTTGGAGACAAGTTTGAACAACCTTCGCTGTGTGCGCAGGTGCGGTACCTGCTGGGAGCACCAATCTTCCCCTGCAAAATGGATATTGGTCTAGGCATCAGTCGCTTCTTCAGAATGGTATCCAACTACGTAGCAGCGTCCACCTTGATGCCCTGAGGCGCTAAGATCAGTGGCATCTTGCCGCCGGAAGTGATAGCCACCCAAACCAGAAAAGCCGGATGAGGCTCTCCTTTGGCGAGTCAAACTCTGCTGATGGTTTCTCAGAGCGATTAGAATATGATTCCTGGTGTTTTGGAGATTGAAAACCCGTTTTACGGCAAAAACTTTATCGTTAGAAAAGAGTGCCGTTCTGTGGCGTGCCTTGGAGAGACGTTCAAGCAGTTGATGGCATCTGCGCAGTCAGTTCAGCTTCGTGTCCTCCCAAAAAGCATGAAATTTTAGCATGCTAGACAGCTTCATCGCAAGGCGCTCATTTACGATGTCGGAGACTGTCCTGCCAGAGATGGACAGCTCTGAAGCCGGCTCAAGCAAGCTTCGCCGAGGATTGCGACCAAGGCGTTGGCGAACGGTTTTCGAAATTTCGTTACTGTCCGCAGTAGCCAATTTACAACTCATACAACAGTCCTGGGTGCTGTTCATATCCTAGGAATGACGCAAGGTGGAAAAGACCCTGATCTGTAAAATTTGGGGAGCCCGCGCGATTTGCTGGTCAGCCATCCTCTCCTCGTGCATCTTCTCCATCAATGCTCGCTCCATTCCAGAAGGCATATCTCCGACAGAAAAAAAGCGAATAGTCCTGTTTTTTGAGGGCTTGTACTCAAAAGTATAAGAAGCAAAAATATGTAATTAGCACGCAAAAATTTGTGGAAAAGCCGAACATACAAGGGCATCAAAAATTGTTCAAGGACTTTCTCCCAACCCTGTATGATTTTCTATCGATACAAAACAGCAAGTTTGCTTCTTTTGGCTTTTTTTCGAAAATAACTTTTCGTTAAACGTTAAAACAGCAAAAATTTTGCTTACTTAGAAAAGGCAAATAGTATATAAAACCTATAAAACCGGCTCCTCCCGTTTCTTGTAAATTTCAGACTTTTACCTCCAATTTTCTTCTACTGTTTTTCATATGCAATGTATGCTCAACAGGCCGCCAAAATACTCTTATAAAAAAGATGGTTCACTCTTTCGAACGAAGATAAATGCGAGCAAACTAGTTTTGAAAATCAGAAGTTATGAATTTTTGAAAATGGTGCGACATAACTTTCGTTCCAACCTGATATATGATCATCGCACCATTCCTAGCTTAATATATACATTCAATAATGGGATCTCTTTCTTCAGTATCGTCGCTGTTAGTAAAGGCATGCACACTTCCACTGACCATATGTTTCCGTACCATTGAACGAATTCTCCTGCCTACATTTCGCAGACGGGCCTAAACATATTTACTGAGCGTACGTTTTCGTAGATCCTCATTTTCCAGCAAAAACAAAAAGCCTATATTATGTTCGATGAACAATGCCCTATTACTAAATCCAAAACTCCCTTTTTTAGTAAAACCCGACTCTGCATTTGAGAATCATGGTGATTTCAAGAAAAGTCTAGAAAGGTGGCAATATATCAGTTCAAGAACGATAAGACGATAATTTTTCAACGACAAAGTTTACGACATTTTGCATCCTTTGGATGATAATAAGCAAGCATATGGTACGAAGCTAACAGCTTCTGCGAGACATGATATAACAGTCAAATCATGGTCCGAAATACAGTGACGCCAACAATTCAGGCTCAATGGAATTTTAAGATATAATAAGGAAGCTTGCTCCAAAACATAGTGGCGATAAAGACTCGATTGGAGAAATTATTTTATGCATAGAGCTGCTGGGAAAACGTAGCAAGTTGATATATGATTATGTACACACAGAAATATGACTAGTCATTTTTTTTAGAAATAGCATTGAGGTTCAGAACACCAGTCGATGACGCATAGATCTCATTGTGATCATATTGATCCATATTTTTTACAACAAAGTACAGATCAGCGAAAAATACTAACGTCGCTGGTACCAGACCAATCAGAAAACGAGTGGCTAGATCAAGATGTAAATGTGGATATGCAAATTGTACACCAGAAAACCCAAAAAAGAAAGCGCACACTACAGTGAGGACAACGTTGAATATGGACATCAACTGTCGGTTCACCACCTACAAAGAAGAAGGAGATGCTGAGCAAAATAGGTCAAAGCTTTGCCACAAACCTTTAATTCGGCGCCGAAATTTTCCATGAGATCAACTTTCCCGTAATTTTGTGTGGGGTCGACAGACTGTATGATCTTTTTATAAACCATATTCTCCTGCTTCTTTCGTAGCGCTTCAGTCTTTGCCCTGGAACCACAGAATAGAATCTATTAGAAACCACATCACATATGACTATAAACCTGAATTCAGGAGAAGCATGGTATGTCGTGTCCTCACGGTAAGGCGTCAGTCTAGTGTAAAAAGCTGCAAGTGGTGCATCACCAGGGAGGCACCCCTGAAAAATGAATTATCCAATGCAAAAAATTCATTCATTTCAACGGAAAAATTAGGTGAGATATTCTATATCACTTGCCCAATGACAGGAACTAAACCCAAATAAGCTAATTTCCATAATACTTCATCTGCTTCAGAGTGAAGCTTACAGTCAAGTAGACACCAAACAAAACCAACAAGGAAGTGTGTATTACAATGAAGCTCATGATCACATACAATACTCTTCGTGTTATGTTCATAAAAGACATCAGTAGTGCAGAAGGTTCCCTAACTAAATTACTGGTCTTCAATTCTCCTTAACCACCGTAGGTGTAGATCAGAGAAAATGGGTAGAATGAATTACAACACGGAAAAGAAAGCCAAATTGTAAACAGTCCTGATATAGCCTGTTGTAAAAGGAAACAGCAAGAGTTACATAAAGAATTGCCTGATTGGGCATATAGCAGCATGTGTAGGCAGATACATAAGGTGGCAGTCCTGTGACTTTCAAAAGACAGCCTAATTTGGCTTTCAATCGCCATATGCTTCATTCAACATTTCTAGTAAGTTATATCGAACTGATGTATAATGGAGAGTTAAGGTGCATTCTTGAAAGGTCAAAAGCAGTAAAACTGAAACAATTATTATGCTACAAACATAAGAACGCCCGTAAAAGGGCTCGGACCTGGGAGGAGTTGCAGGTGCGCTCCATCGCCATTTCGATTAGAGCACCGTTTTTTCAAGTGGGGCGCACTATCTCCTAACACTTAGCGTTTCACAAACTTTCCAAAGAGATGGAAGACTGGGAGAGGGACCATGTGCAAAATAATAGAATGTTTTGGTTCATTCCGTTTGCATGTACTCCTCTTCTCAAGCTGTCAGGGCATATCATCATACCCTATGGTTCTCATGATTTGGCGTTCATGCATCACTCAACAATATTTTTGCTTTGTGTTCTTCCATATATGACCTTTGTTTTGATTCTTATTTTACTCTACTCACTAGAGTTATGCAACAACGCTTTTGGTCCAACAACGAAAAAAAGGGAGACGATCAAGAGGCGCGATTTCCCCGGCTGTCACCAACTTAAAACTCCAGTGTAGTGCTATACGAGTCTTCAAAAAAACCAGATTAAGTGCATTGGATTACTATCTGTATGAGGTTACCACTTGCTAAGTCTGGTGGCTTTTGCCGGAAAACTAACCAAAATACTTACGAATTTGTTCTTAACTGCATTTTCATGAGTTTTTGACCTTCTCAGTTGCTGTTTTGAATTGAATCTAAGGTAGCAAGATTGAGCAACCCACGCAACTATCTAGCCCAGCCATAGTTAGCATTTACCCTCTATAAACTTTGCCTGAATTATTATGAATTTGGGTTAGTCTCGGCTGCTCTAACTTCTCTTGAGTTCACACCACTTAAGGATCCACTTTGTGCAGCTTTTAGAAGTATCTTAGGGCTGCTAGTGCTAAATTGGGATGGATTTAGCACTGGTGTTCGTGTGCGAACTCTTTTTACGGCTCGCATGTGGCCAATCAAATTCTGGCAACAGCTGTGTTTCAGTCCTTCCTACTCCATCAAAAACATCCTGTACGGTGTTGCTTTGTCTTTTTTTTTCTTGAGACGACCTATAACTGTCTTGTAATTACATAACTTATCTCGAAAACATAAAATTCCTTCCTGAGATCTGCTGGAAAACTTGTTAGATCGACGTCTTTGAAGCAATGAGAGCTAAAAAAAAGAAATCGAACGTGTCATATTTCAATTTTGCGCTTGATAGCAATCGTCGCCTTTTCTCATGAGCTTCAAAAGCGCTGCATAGTCGTAAATCATCATTGCTAATGTTGTTCGATAAGCTTGTCGATGATGCCTAGATTGAAAATTGAAAAAATGGGTGGAAAATGGCAACTTTATGCTGGTGACCTTTATAGACTGTAACGTTTTGCTAAATGGAAAAGCCGGGATTTTTGCAGTTAGTGATTAGTTTTGAATGTACAAAATTAATTTGCCCAGCTGTCAACCTCAGGAATTCTCTAGAAACAAACAAATTTTGAAACTTGGTGCTATACTAAGTTAACTATGAAACTTTACTTAATGGAATTGAAAATGATGAGAATTTTTTTGAGCGAGAGCTGACCAATGTGCTGAACATAGAACTTGGCCTGCTGCCATATTCTCACTGAGCATCACTTCGGGACAAGTTCGTAGTTTTCCGTAGGACGGGTTCTTAGGCACATGCCGCAGGCTGCGTTCATACTAATCCGGAAATCTGGAAACCTTGAAACTTGGAGCAGATCTTATTTATCATTGAGATCCATTGAGAACATAGATATTGTATATATTCGTGGAAATACATGTGACAAGAGTCCAAACGCATGTAGGGTCGGTCGAATATGCACAAAAAATCCAGCATGCTTGGAATCTATGTATTTCGAGCAAAACATTCTCAAGGATTTCAAATTTCTGGCGGGCTTGTGGGTTTGTGCTTCAAAATTAAGCAGCAAAATGGTTTGGTGTTCCACAGAATTTTTTCTACGCATGAAATGCATGCAAGCGGGTCTTATCGTAACAAAGAATTGGCAGTTTTGATCCTCTGACATGATTTGTCCACATTTTACCGTCAAATTCCCACAAAGATGTCAAAGACTATACGTATACTCAAAAACTACCCAGATCGGCGTGGAAGTGTTTGGAGATAGTGCGCTCCAGTTGAAAAAACGGTGCTCTAATCGAAATGGCTATGGAGCGCACCTGCAACTCCTCCCAGGTCCGAGCCCTTTTACGGGCGTTCCAAACATAATAGTAGACGAACAGCACATACCTTGATAGCTTTGATGTCATCCAGGCTGATGTACTTTTTGGCTGCAACCTTGTTGAGAACGTCCTTGGCCTCGTTTACAGCATATTTTTCGAGCACTTGCAACCTTTTCCTATCGTCTTTTGTCAATATCCATTCCATAACAGTTCTGTAATTGAGGGACTTTTGTGTACAGGATCGATGGTACGTATAACATGTCAGCTACACTTCTGAAACCAAATACTAATACAAAACTAATATCGCTGATTGCTGGGAAACAAAGAACATTGGATGGAAAGGCCAGGAACAAAGCAAGTTACTTGAGTAAGAGCACATCGGGTCGACCACAACCAAAAATCACTTTTGGCAAGGTTTCCGCGCGCCAATCACAGTTGCTTGCTACAATCGTACTTTCATCTTTTGAAATATTTTCATTACTTTTTTCATGGACGTTCCTTGTGCTGTACCCTTGTAATGATTCTAATTTCGTCAGCGCAGAATCTAAATGGCCTACGACTCAGTATATGTTTTCAGCAACCGTCTTCTACAGGAAAATGGGTCATAAAGGAAAGCATGAGAATGGGGAAAATAATAACGATGTGGCTTATATGACTGAAGATGGTATCCCTTCTGAGGTAAGAATCACTTGCCAGACATTCTTTCCTTCTTTTTCATCGTTCGAACTGATCTTGCGATAAACAGAGATGGAAGGTTTAACTTTTTCGAGCTTTTTTTTTGCTGCTGCCACTAATACAGTGTGAATATCTAAAATTGTATCCAAATTGCATTGCATTTTGTACAGTTCACTTCTACTGCCGTTGAGTTTGAGTTTTATAATGCACTCGCACGATTGGTCTGAGGAGCCCAAAAGCCTTTCTTGGGTTAAGGTTAGAGCCAAACCTTGGGAAATCAGAACTTAGAAATTTACGAAATAGTGCAAGAGATTAAAACTGAGGTGTAAATGTGTCCGGTGTCATATGAGCGCTAAGTATCGTCGATTCATGAATCGCCAGGACTGGGCGCCGTCGCGTCCAACGAAGATAGTTTGTGTATAGGAGAGACAGCAGACGGCAAGAGGGACGAAAAAGCGCTCGGTCACGGAGGCGCCGACATGTCTACAGTCTTTGCGTGCTATGAATCGCCTATAGTACGCTGATGCCCATGCCGTGTGTCGCTGCCATATTTCATCAAGTTGATCCGAATTTTACAAGCACTGGTACCTAAAACTTAGCCTAAAGGGGTTATTTGTCATGCTGTGGAGTTGTGGGGTTAGGCTAGGATACCACGGTAGGAGTGGGTCTGCTGCTATTACTTTGGGGTCACCTTGATCCACCTTGTTGAGCGTGTTCCTCTCATCCATATGTTGCATAAAGGCTCACTGTGGTCTTATGATCCTTGCAGACGCACTTTGGGTGGAAGATAGCCGTTATATATGCGCAAAGAACCTCAGTTGGCTCTTGCTCTTCTCGCGAATATATGCGCAAAGAACCTCAGTTGGCTCTTGGTCTTCTCGCGACTTTCTACACCTTACGCAGGATTTTAAATTCTTCACCTTGTTAGATCGGCTATGATAACAGCGAAAGGGCTAAGCAAGATAAGTAGATAGTAAACATGTCAAAGGCCCCATGTGCAGAGTTTCAGCGAATTTGAAATTCTAAATCACATAAAGTGGGGTGGAGGACATTAGGTGGCCGATAGGCTCCACCCACACGGACAGCCAGCATGAGGCAGTAATGGTGAAGGCCCGAGGTTTGTTGCAAATGTCTGCGCGGCACCGCCTCTTCCGGCGACCTAACGTTCTTTACCCCGTAAAGTGGTACAGCTGCCATATTTAACAAATTACAGAATGGGATGCACGCAAAAGCGATCAAAGGAAAATCAAGGCCCTCTGATGGTAGATATGCGCTGTATCTGGTACGGAAACCTATAGAGGTACGATAAGGTGCTTTTTTCGCTAGTCTCTATCTATCTCTTTATCATGTTTTTTGAAGGTTACGCCGGAAGATTTGTCAAAGGCAAGTATTTCTATAGAAGCATGTGTCGACAATGAGCAAAAAATCACCATAGGTAGGCTCTCTACATCTTATAATTCTTATTTTTTGCAGTCGTCTACAGTATTTTTTCTAGGCGATTATCTTGCTTCCTTCGTTCCTTTTTCTGTATCGAGAGAGTGATATCCTAGGTAGTAATGATTTTGTCGTTCGAGGAGCTGCATTGCCTTCACAAACGTTTCACATACCAGCTAGTGTCTTGCATGCATCCGATGCTTCATCTTCTTTGGAAGGTGGTTTTTCCACTCGAATGCGCGATTTGATTGTTATCTTAAAATTACAGCTGGTAAGGTCATAGGCTCTATAGTGATATCGAGAGCAGAGTTCCACTCGACAGACGGCATCTATGAAGAAGGTAGTTTATTACTTGCTTGAAGTTTGTCCACATGTCGAAATGCTATATAATGGACAGGGCACGATGTTCCGCTCGATCTTCTACAAAACCTCCCACTCAGACACATAAAAAAGAAGGTCTCCCGTAAGGGAATCAAGCATCTACGACAACGATTGTGTGCGAATGGTGTGAAAAGGTTAAGTAGTAGTGGTAGTGCTGCTGCGCAATGAGGCGAAAAAATGGGCTACTAGGTTGTTTTCCAAAGGATCTGTGATATCTTTGCTCTGTTCACCATTTCTTGTTATTTCCTCCATATATGAAGGATCTGTTCACTGTTATTTTCTTCATGTGTAGGAGAATTGTTAATTGGATGTCTATAATAATTTGTTTTTTTTTGTATCTATGATTATTTGCTTGTCACTACTAGAATGAAAAAAATGCAGTCTTCTTTTGCTATTGTTCAATCGGGAGCAGTCACCATGCTATGCCTTCATACGAAATCTTTTTTTCTGAATTTGCTACAGATTTACTCATGTAGCTATTCAAAAACATGGCCAGTCCTGCATGTGTTATCTCGAAACAGATCGGAAAATCCGATGCAGTAGAAATCCATTCTATACCGTGCAAAATTGCATACAGTGGTCCAGCACAAGTTTCGGGGTGAGTGTTGCTTCATCTAATTTTTCTCTCTGATTTCTTGCAAATCTGTCCACTATCTCTGTTGCATGTCCAACTTCTTGTAGCTATTTCAAAATCCAAGATCTCGACGGAAGGAAGCGCGCCGCATTCCGTGGACATGGACTTGAAGGAGTGAAAATTGATTTACCATCCGAGTACGAATTATCAGTACTCAAGAAGAGAGGTAATTTTTCTCGGTGTAATTTCTATCTGCATACTTACCAGTCCTCTTATTGTTAGTACTCAATTACAGATGATTTCTCGTATGATATTGAAAATCGGCAACGGTCTTTCACTTTATGGGAGTGGGATCGAGAGGCAGGTGAACGGTCTGCTGTGGCTAGGGCTCTTTCACAGTTGAAGGTAGCTCAAGCGCTTGCTGACGACTGAAGCATGATGTCCGGGTATTCTATAATGGGTATAAATCATTTCATTTGCATCTCATCTTTCTTGCCGTCTACTGCCTTTGTTTTGCTGCAATTCGAAGATGGTCTCGGTCAAATAAAATTTACATCTTCATTTGTCTTGTGCTTATCAAGGAAATTGACCTGGTTCCTTCCTGCATTTCTGTGTCATATGCGAATGCTTATTGTTAGTTGAAATGTATCACATGTGCAGGTCCAATGCGGATATTGTACTTGTTTCTCCTTCTCTTGGACCTGTTGGCGGCCGAGCCAATCTCCTTGATCACTGGTAATACACGTTCACCTTGATTTTGCTGTTTGTTTCTCTACTTCCTTTCATGAAGGAGCCGCTGTTATGTTTGGTGGAGGAGCATTGTGGAAATTTCAGCATCAGATAAAGTGCAAATTATTTGAATGTTGCGATAAACCGTATGTGAACCCTCGATTCGATAGTTAGTTTGTTAGTGTTTTGGTGTTTCTTTTTCAATCATACACTCATTTTCACTACTTTATTGATCGTGATACCCGACCCGCATTGTCTTGAAGTTTTCAGAGCTCCACGAAGACCTTTACAAACTTGTTTATGGTCAACATCTGGTCCTTGATACAGTAGAGAACGCAATTCGTGCACATTGGACCAATGAAAAACCCAAAAAACCTCTGGCCATGTCATTTCATGGATTCACTGGCTCTGGCAAGAACTATGTGGCGGAGATCGTTGCTAATAGCACCTTCAAGTGAGATCGGTAATTTATGTATAGATTTGTTGTTGCCCTCTGACGATCTGGTGAGAAGTAGCCGTTGTGAATTCAGAAATGGCATGAGAAGCAATTTCGTTCATCATATCGTAGCTACTGCCGACTATCCAGATAAAAACAAAGTTGACGAGTACAGGGTATGTTTCAACGTTTGCGTCGGTTACCTATTTTGATCTTTCTGAACGGTCTGTTTAGCTACGATTACGTGAAAGAATATTGAATGCTGTCAGTAAATGTAGTAGGGCGATGTTTATCTTCGACGAAGCGGATAAATTACCCGAGCAACTTCTAGGTCGGGAATTTTCGTTCTATCACATTGTGAATCTAAATGCATTACAGAAGCTGTGAAGCCTTTCCTGGATTACTACGACTCGGTAGCTGGTGTGGATTTCCGGAAAAGTACCTTCCTGTTTCTGAGGTGGGCCTTTTCTTCACTGACATGCTAGCTGCGTTATACAACTACTTTTATTTTGATTCTTCATGATACTTTAATCTAGATGTTGCATGTTTCACTCTTCTTTCAGTAATCGAGGTGGTAGTTTGATAGCAAATGTGGCTCTCAATCACTATCAAGCTGGCAATCCTAGAGAAGATTTGAGCCTCAATAATTTCGAAAGAATGCTCATGCAGGCAGCCTACAATGAGCCGGGTAAAGTATTTACCTTTTTTCTCTGAATTTCTTCTATTTTGCAATTTTAGGAGGTCTTAAGCTCTGTGAGCTGATCTCAAGCCACTTAATTGACCACTTTATCCCGTTTCTTCCATTAGAGCGACGTCATGTATACTCTTGTACAGTATATTACCTGAAATCGCAAGGAAGAGAGGATTTGGCAAAGGACGATGAATTAGTGCAACGAATCGTGGATTCACTACAGGTACGCCAGCTCATGGTGTTTTCGTACGTTCAAATACCCTTTGCAGTATTTTCCAAAAGGCAAAGAAATTTTTTCGAGTTCTGGCTGCAAGCGTATTGCAGCCAAAGCTGATCTGGAAATAAGTAGGGAAACCTTGCCATCCTTCGCCGTGAAGCATCTGACCTTCGAAGATGAGCTTTAGGTATTCGAAAATCGGGTAAAGTTATTTGAAAAGTTCAGTTTTATAGATCATCAACCATCGACATTCTTTTTGTGATAGTTTCACCATTAGTTCTTTCTCATTTTTCTTTTCTTCTTCTTTCACAGCTGCAGCATCTGCCCAACTAACACCCTTCTCCATTCCTCGTTCACTCGTTGCGTTTGAACATCCAAATAATTTGTTGTACATATGCTAGTCATGTTCTCATGATCTTCGCCGGTTTGTTACCAGCAGGTGTCTCTTTTTCGCCATGTTTCTAGCTGCTTGCCTTGTCACTTATTCTTTGAATACCCAGCCCTTGCATAAAGTATACGTAAGTCATTGGTGTGTTCTTTCGCCAGAATGAGACTTAAAATAACTTTATCCAAACTTCATACAATATCTGACGGTCTGGGAGGCATGGTACTAGAGCAGCATACGGAACGTTTGAGTACATCTCGCGGCGCTTTGACACATTTAGCTGGTGCTTAATAACAACATAATTATGAGTGTGAAGCCCCATGTCGACAAGAATTACCTGGACAAGAATTTGTTATCTCATCAGTTTTTGTACACTCCATGATTATCTGCGAGTTGGCCATGTATGAGGGAATGAGCTCATACGGGCAAGACAACACAGTCATCAGGTCGTAGGCATAGGTATGGACCAGGTGTGCAGCAGAGCTGCTATCGAGGTGATCTGAACCCTGTGATTCGTGCTTAATCAAACACATTTTGAATTAGTTCACTTCCAACGGTCAAGCTGTCGTCAGCGAGATGTTTGGTAACTAGATTTTGATTTTCGGACTTTGTTGGCTTCTTGTGGATGATATCTGAAACTTCTGATTTTTATACTTGGTATGGTTTCATCACAAAAGCTTGATCTACCGTTTTTGCTTTTTCTTGGGTCTTTGCAGCAGAATCCAACAATGGAGTGATTTATGCTTTGACAGCTATAGCCGCTTCTAAACAGATATCAACAATTGTTTATAGGCAGATGTCAACAATTGTTCTTACAGAGGTTAAGGCAGGAAGTCTAATTTTTGGAACTAAGGCTTTCTGTTTACATTGCAGACTTACATTCGCTCTTCAGCCGGTGCGCCGTTAGCGACAATTCTCTCATACTGCAAAACGGATTGTTGTATAGACTTACGTGACCTTGGTTGCAGGTCATTTTCATACATCCAAACGAGATCCGTGGGTCTACCATAGATGATCTTTTTTCATGATGAAGACTATGTAGCAATATGTACACTCGAGTAAATTTTCCGCTTAACACGTTGACGACCGTATGCGTCCGCGCGTATGCACGCCCTAATTCCCGTTTAGCATTTTCGTGCATCCGCGCATAAAGGGCTTATCAAATTGAGTGTCGTTTGCACCAGCATCTCCATCTTCACGCTGGGCTCTGCGTCTCTTCTGCGGTACATGCTCCCTAATCACTTCCAATCGATTGATGCTCCGCCCTTCCCACGCTCGCCCTGGGAAAGTGCTCAGAGAGCAGCTCTGCGGAAGAGACGCAGAGTCCAGCGCGAAGATGGAGATGCCGGTGCAAACGACACTCAATTTGATAAGCCCTATATGCACGCTAGTTTTTTAGGTTTAAACGAAAAGTTTTAAGGTAACTTCTATGCAGTAATACTTCTGGTGGCCTGATAGTCTTGCAGAACAAGGGCATCGCGGCAGCTGTTCAGAAGTTTGGGCCGCAAAATTGGGTAATCAGTCGGTTTTTGGTAAGGTAAACACATGCTAATTACGTTTTTCCGAGAACGTTAAAACTCTGTAAAGCTGTTGTGAAAGCAAAAAAGGATGAATCAAGCAAATTACAGCGTTTTTTTTTTTGAAAACAAATTCCTCCAATATAGCGATTGCGCGGTTATTGAGAGAGAAAATCCACGCAAAAACCTTTATTTGTGTAAGTTCTGGTAAGGCTCTGTGATATGCATGTATCTCTGAACAAAGTTCACATGTTTTATTAATAAGCGTCAAAAGGACTCCCACATAATGTTTTCGTGCATCCGCGCGTATGCACGGGCCAAATGCGCGAAGGACGTTAGTGGGAGTTTCGCCCAAAATGGCGCGGTCGTCAACGTGTTAAAATAGTGTGCTTGCAAAGAGGGTGAAATGCGGTGAAATTTGCGCGTGAGCAAGTACTGGCCAGGCCAGTAATGCCGACATTTTGCGCGCGCAATTGGCCAGCGTCACAGTCCAAACTACTTGTTCACGCTTAAATTTTACCGCATTTCACCTTCTGTGCAAGCACACTATATTAAGCGGAAAATCTACTCGACTGTAGCTCGACGGTATGCATGGAAAGTGGTTAGGGTTGGGATTCTAATGCGGTACAATGCGTCCCCCTGTTGGTGATTGTTTAAGTTCTGCTCCATAACCAAAGTGCACATTTGTCGAAAATGGCGGGAAAGAGGGAATTTTACCCTCCACATGCTCAGACAATGGGAGTAGGCGAGTACCGGAAATATAGATGACCGATTTCTCGCGTTCCGCTTGCATTTTTAGGAGGACGTCTGTTGGTAAAAGCAGCAATCCATGCGAAGAATCAGAGTGAGAAAGGGGTCAGAATATTTTCAAAAATAATGCCATTCAGCGATTTGCTGACGGAATGCGAAGATCCAGCGACGCACATTTTCCGGGGTCTGCCTTCCCCCGGCGATTGTTTGAATAGGTGGTATGAAGGTGTCCGAAAGCGCGCTTCGGACCAGGGATAATCTTTAGAATGACGGACTCTTAACATTTATAGGTCGACAGGACAGACAAATATAAGAATTTCATAACGTAGCAGATGAAGGAAAGCAAGATTTACAGGATGACCTTCGAACCACAAGACACTCGACCGTGAAGTTTAGAAGCGAAAAAAAAACACTCAAAGAACAAACTCCATCCAGAGAGAACCCTGCAACCTCCATATTGCTCATATATTTACCATCCATATTCTGTTTTTTTTTTCACTAGAAGTTAAAAATAGAGTTTGCGTGCTCTAGCAAATGCAATGCTGGGCTATTCTCACATAGGAAATTTTATACTACGAACCTTTAGAGTTTTAGGTGGGTGCGAAAGTTCGTGCCGTTCGTTAGACCTACAGTCTGCCCAATCGGGATCAGGCCGAACCGTCGGCTGAATCTGCGCGCTCGCAGCACTAGGGGACTGCGCTGCATACGCGCGCTGTCGCAGAGAGTGAAGAGATTGAGGAGAGAGCAGACTAGCTAGCCGCAGATGTGGCGCGAAACCCTCGCGGCGCAGACTCTCGCCATGCCGATTTTGGCCTGGTTAGGATTGGGGCAGACTGTATCCTCAAATCATCTTATATATAAAGCTGAATGTCTGTTTGTATGTCTGTCTGTCTGTGTGTACGTATGTTCCGAATAGAAAATTCCATTTTTGAACCGATCCGGACCAAACTTGGCACACATACACTTCGGGCCCCGGCGGGTGTCATAGGCTACTTTTCGTTATCGATCGATATCGATTTTATCGATTTTTTGCAAAATTTTAGCTACGGGGCTGGGAGTTGGCACAGGGGGGTAATCGAGCATGCTGATCATCCCCGTGGGGGTGATCAGCATGCTCGATCACACCCCTCTGCCAAATTCCAGCCCCCTAGCTCAAATTTTGCAAAAAATCGATAAAATCGACATCGATCGATAACGAAAAGTGGACTGTGACACCCGCCGGGGCCCGAAGTGTATGTGTGCCAAGATTGGTCCGGATCGGTTAAGAAATGGAATTTTCTATTCGGAACATACGGCGGAGCATGAGAAAAACGACAGTGTGCGTCTATTATGTTACGTGATAGCGTCGCGAAGTTGAATTCGACGCAAGTGGAACTGTGGTTGCGTCATACTTGCTACCTTCTTCACTTCAATTCAAAATCTTATTTTTTGCCTTTGATTGGTCCGGATCGGTTAAGAAATGGAATTTTCTATTCGGAACATACGGCGGAGCCGGGTAAGCCAGCTAGTTCAGAATAAGGATAGAAAAATACTCTATTTTTTGTTCTATGCAAATTCTTTCTCTTGTCATCAGTGATGTTTTTGTTTGGATTCCTTCAATGTTCTTTCGCGTAGTTGTCAAAATCTCCAACACATGCACTTTACGTACCCTAAATTCAGTTATTCTTTTTGAAATTTTCGTTTTAGACTTTTGAAAAATCATTGATGACATTTGGAAAGAGTAACCAAGATGCTATGCTACAACACTCAATTTTTTGTCGTCGATTACTGGCTATCTTTAAAAACAAGTTTCCCAAGAGTCCTCACGTTTGCGAAGTCGTATTCAAACACTACGAAATTTTCGCAAGCCGAAACTTCCAAAAATCGATTATAATGAAACTAATTGTAAGTTTAACAAAGAAGTGAGTTGAGTGTTCCACCACTTCGAAATATTGATTTGTGAAACAGGGTTTTTTCGGATGCATCCTGGGAAGGACCAAGAAACTAGAATTATGGCAATTCTTTTTTCGAGGCGTTTACATTTGGAAAGGAAAACATTTTTCAAAATAGGAGAAGGAGCTGCAACCACTTTAGCTGTTTGCCGTCATGTTCTACGAGGTTTGGCATAAACAAATATCAAATTTGGTAGCATAGGGTAGGTCCAAAAAACGACCTCCTAATACAACTAGCTTTTTGCCTTCTGCCAGAGCTGGGGATCATCACGCATACAAAAACCCGAATAAGACGTTTCATAACTTTGGTTCATTTATCTTCAGTAACCTATGAAAAATACAGCAAGTATACGTTCAAGGGTCTGATTTGGGGAGCATGTCCATGACGAGGTGGGAGATTGTAGGATATTGGACGGAGATCTAATTCTGGGTATCTTAATCTCAAAATTTGCTTTCAGTATTCGCATGAATGGACTTGTGCGAAGTTCAAATGCGCTCTCGCAGAGCTTGCTCGGTTCTGATGAGCAATGTTTCCTGACTGTTTGCAACCACCCAGCCGCCTCGGACCCAATATTGCCATGCATTTTTAAACAGTGGCTAATCGAGCCGGCACGAGTTTTTACAAGATATGTTTTTGCGTTTTACATTAATCAATGTCTTCCGTTTTCTGCGTCCCCCACCCCTCTCTTTCTATAGGCTTGCGAAGAGAATCAGATTCGTATGGAACTTTTTTCATCGTTATCAGCCAGAGCTCGGCACAGCTGGCACCGGGTCAAGCTGGATATCGTTTCTGGGGCGGAAAGCAAAGGGGATATCGTTTTTGCGGGCTAGATGCCGCTGTTTGCTAGAATGCCAGGGGCACGCCACCGGCAAGTCGCCAGCATCGTGCCCCTGGTACAAACAAAAGCATTTTTTACAAACAAAACGCAATCATATGACACCAAATCTCGTGTGTGCATGCGCACTGGGAGACTCGAACTATGGCCCAAAAATTTATGCAAACTTATGTGAATGAAAGCCGTGCTGGACTTTTTTCTGAATTAGCTGACGCCGTGCCAGCTGGGTGCCAGCTGAGCTGGCACTGACCCTTTGCTCACATCATTTTTCATACTTTTCTAAATGATTTGTATCTGCATTGTGAAGATTTACATACAGAGCAAAAACAGTTTCATAATGTTTTCTTTTCGGCGTTTTATAGCCATCTAAAAATTTCTCGGTCTGCTTCCCACTTGAAAAATCTGCTCCACTCGCAATTCGCACTCTAAGCAAATGCGAAGCACGTCAAAGGGGACTTGGTAGAAAACTTTTGAGATCAAAGGGGACTTCGTTTTAGAATTTCGTTGGTGTCAGCTCGTGCTGAGCCCTGTTACCAGCCAATAAACATCTCTCACACCTGCATGTCGTCACTCCAACTGTGCAAACATTTGGTTGACCGTTCTCCGGATCTAAGTAGAGGACGTTCCCATTTGGACATTGCCCTGAATGATATGGTGTTGCGTGGTCAACAATCGAAAAGATGAGAAGATTTTGAGAACCTGTGACTTTAGCAGAACAGCAGTACCCCCATGGACTTCCTCGATAAGGATCGATGCATTCATAACCTTCAGAGCAAAAGCTCTGTATTGTATTACATATGATCGGGCGATGGGACAATGCATCTAGCTGCGGGGTCTTTCCAATAGGACAAAAATCTGAAGAAGATCTTTCGGCTCTTCAGTGTATCCACTCTGGACTGTTCACCTTTCTCCGGCCTGCAACAATGCCCAGTTTTTTCCTTCTTGACACAAATGGAGTCGTCAGGACAGTTGTTAGTACTAGGTGATGGGGAACAGCTCAGGGCAGAACGTGCCGTGGGAGAAGCGTAAGATACCGAATTGTCAGGACAAGACCGATCTAAGAATTTACTAGAAAGTGTTCAACTGATTGAATATTGAAATATTAGGTTGATGCACAATTCTTGCACCAAAAAATACAAAAAAATTATTTTAAAAATGCTTAAACAAACTATTCAACTTACGTGTTCTGCTCTATATTATGTATATCAAAAGTAGTATTTTATAGTACATTTTAGAAAATCAATTTGAAACAAAATCGATAAGTCATTTCAAAAAAATCGAAATTCGTGAATATTCGCAGAAACATCCAATCACTACCAACTTCTCTAAAAAGAGCATGCCATAAGACTTAGACCAAAAATAAATTTAAATTCGAGTAGACGTTTTAGCATATTTAGTGACTAAATATCGAGAAATCACTTTCTGGGTATTTCTCTTATTCACCTTGTATCGTTGCCATATGCCCTCAAGGACTTTGGCTCGGGCACCATCAGAAAGCGCAAGATTTGCTCTCTCTACTATGTATCGAACCAGAAGATTTCATCTCAGCTGGATGAAGTAAGATAATTTTCAAAATTTTGGTGCAAGAATTATGCATCAATCTTATAGGTAGCATCTCATATTGCCGTGATTATTCTGATCTGTTTCAGTGAAAACAAAATCATCCAGAAGACAAGCTTTGAGTTCGACTTTCTGTGGATCATCTGGCCTCTCAAAAATATCACAAAACAGTGATGGACCTGGGAGGGGGGAGGGGAGGAAAGGGGACACTTTCTTTTTGAAAAATTGGTTTGCAAAGGTTCTGCAAAGTTATCTGCATAAGTTATAAATGTGCACGTGACTTGATTTCACTTAGAATTGATTAAAACAATTATAAGTTCTTCACATTCAAATTAGCTTTACTAGAAAAAATTTTCCCTTGGCATGGCTGCCGGCCGCTCCTTTCCCACATACAGGGTGTCTCAAGAAAATGTGCACACTGTTTGATTGTAAATAACTCTCTTGTAATTAAGTGTTTCGAGAAACTTTAGGTATCATTTTGTAGAGCGAGGTTCAACTTAGATTTACAGTGCAGAGCGAATCGCCGATCGCTCATCCTTATTGTAGGGTTACGGTAGAAACTTCAAACATATGGTGTCACTGGGAAAAGCGGCCGTTTCAAAAATTTTCAAAAAAATGTGAAAACTTGTGTAGTAGATTTTCATGGACGCTGAGTTCAATATCCAACTATTTACAAGTTTGCGAAGCTTTCTAAACGGTGTAACCGCACTTTTTAGGAAATCGAAAAAAAGGCCGCTATTGCTTAGCTCGCATAATATTTTAGTGAAGCATTACGAAAAGTTGCGAACTTCACATTTAGAATCAACAACTCTAATTAGCTCAGTGTGAGAGTTTTCAGGTTGTTTTGGTTCCTTTTTGGAACAAAATATGGCCTTTCATAGCTCAAAACCCTCTTCAAAGTTTCTACCGTAATCCTACAGTAAGCACGAGCGGTCGGCGATTCGCTCTACACTGTAAATCTAAGTTGAACCTCGCTCTACAAAAAGGTACCTGAAGTTTCTCGAAACACTCAGTTACAGGAGAGTTATTTACAATCAAACAGTGTGCACATTTTTTTGGGACACCCTCTATGTCGGATAGGTGTACCAAAAATCTGAAAAGATCCAAAATTGGAGGCGTGGGCTAACATGCTCCTTCTTCAAAAAAGAATCTCTCCTCCCCCATCCCCTCCCCCCCCCCCCCCCCCTCCCCCGCCATCCGAACGCAACTTCTCGGTCCGTCATTGGCAAGAGTACTCCTTCTGTTTGATACGCAAATATGAAGTTTCAAAGCAGGCATTACCTAGATTAGAAAATCCGCAGCAGATGTGTCGTTTGAACACTTTGTCGAAAGAACAACGGTAATTTTCAGGACACTTAGAAGATTTGCAGTTTACTGGAGTCGAGTTCGTCGATAGAGCTATAATCTCACCCGAACGACAAGCTAAAAAACAACATTTGTTCACAAGCCTGAAGACCAAAAGTTGTTCATAGAGCTGAGAAATAATCAGAGTTTTACCTGTATAATGACAAACCCGTACACATTCAATTTCGGAGTCAAATCTATTGCGATTACCTCCTTTGCAGTTCAAGAACAGGAAGGCTTTGCATCTAAATGCAACTTCAATAATTACACAAAGGCCATGGAGACATAAACTTGCTTCAATTCGAAGACGTCAAAATAGAACTTATTTGTTGGTTCCGCACTGCAATCTCCATAACCGGGGTTAGGCGGAAGAGAGCATATTTTTACTAAAACAGCTTTTTGGGACACTACTCAAAAAGTGAATAGCTACTTACTTGGATCTATAAGCTCATTAGTGTCCTTAGCTATAGACAGGACTTTTCCAAATGAGGCAGTGACTAAAAGAAGAGCGCAAAATGATATCATGAGCAAAAATGTGCGATCGTAAGCATGGGCAGCGTGAGGTGTTAGGTGTTTTTTCTCGAAAGAAAGCGTGTGAACTAGGAAGTAGACAAACTACGAGCTGGCACTTGAGGTGTGATAACCAAATAACTTTGTGTGAGCAGGCCAAACTCAAGCTGACTGTGGTCAAAATTCTTCGCAAGCAATTCCTACGGAATCACGGAGTAGGAAGCAAAATTTGGTACGAAAATTTCCACAGAAAGAGTAGAAAGAAGATAAGATGCAGCCCTCATATTTTTTCGTGCTACTAACTGTTACACTGAGTGGGCGTGTGATATGTGGTGGCTAGTTATTAGTTCTGTCAAAGTGCTGGAATGCACGAGTCGAAAATTTATTTTTTACATACTATTACGTTAATAACTTCTGTCACATTTTTTCAATTTTTTTTCAATATTTTGCAGTGTTTTGCAAACCGTATATATGCGAAAGCTCTAAGCCTGATCTGTAAAAATTCCTGCTTTAATTTCCTCTCTTAAGAGATTGGGGAAGTTTTCAAGCATTGAATTTGGAAAATCAAGAAGAGAAAGAATCCGTTTTAACAACGACATCACGTCTTCCCTCAAATAGGTCAGAATGCGTGAAAACAGTTCGAAAAATCTGCTATGTGTAAGAAAGGAATACTACGGCTTCTGCAACGGTTCGGAAGGGCTAAAAACGTCTAATTTTTTTTCTGTAATTTGGAAAAATTCTTTTCTTTTAGGCAACCCTGAGAGAGGACGGTAGACGAAACATAGAAAAATACGGGCTTGTTGAATAAATTTTAGCTATGCAAAACGGAAAAAATTGGGACAATGTCGAAGATGAGTCGCCTCTTCGCATTCTTTGTTTCAATGGTAAAAATCTTTTTCATTGTCCTTTTGGAGCTTTGGAAGCAAACGCGCTTCAATTCAAATTAATAAGACATTTTGGAAAACGCTAAAACAAAAAATGCCCTGAACTTATTACACAGCTAGTAGTTTGCTGTGTAAGCTCTGTCCGATTTTTGCTGCCTTGGGTTTGAAGCAGATTTTCTAAAAGTATTTCCCGTTTTATGCGGAAATGATTGTATCATTAGAAGTTTTTGTTGTTCGTTTGATACGTATTAGACTTCATGAAATCTTTAGTCTAACAAAACTGTAGACCTAAGCCCAGAAATATTGTCTTTACCGAGAAACACATTATTGTAAGAAAATCTCCAAAATGCTCGCACCAAATTAGTCCTTTCAATTATCCCGAATAAAGATGTAATGGGCATGTGCACTAGTTTACTTTTATTCAAGAATCGTCTTGCTTGTAGAATTTATTGCTGAAAAGTGATCCTTCATGTAGATTTATTAGGGGCAATAACATCCTGTGAATAAAGGCAATCGATGCGAACGTGGTGTAAAGAATAGAGCAAGACCTAGCAGGGCTATACACCAGTAGCTCTTCAAAGCTCGCAGCATTTACAAAGATTCTATTAAATAAAGCCATAAACCTTGCATATAAAGCTGAATGTCTCTTCATCTGTATGTATGTACGTACGTATCAGTGGCGGACCGAGGAAGGTGCCCCCCCCCCCTCCTCCCCGAGAATGGATCGCGAAATTTTTAAAATTTACTTACGTGGGTTATAAAAATGTGCAAGTGACTTGTTTATTTTTGTAAACAATCAAAATAATTTTTTAAATTTTTCAAAAGTTCAAATTAGCCCTATAAAAATTTTTTTTCGGGGGCGCGGCTGAGGCTACGCCCCCTTTTTCCAGGGTTTAGGGGCTGAGGACCCGCAAAAATTTGAGAAGTACCTCTAAAATTTTTTTGGAGTGCGTGGCTGACGCCACGCACCTTCATTTGGAATAACTTTTTGCCGCGCACCCCCCTCCCCCCGGGCCGGAAATTCTGGGACCGCACTGGTATATATGGGAGGACGCGCAGGAGGAACCAAGGGTATGCCGCCGCATATCCGGGAGACTTCTGGCAGCCATAAATAGGCTCCGCCCCCGCCCATTGCTCCGCCCATGAGATGCTCACAGTGTGCGCTGAGTTGGAACAGGAGACAGACCACGGAACTGGGGGCAAATCACAATGAATAGCAGTTCAAAGTTAAGGTTAAAGTTCAGAAGAGACTGATTTTCGATAACTACTTTCAAAAATAAGTTTTTAAAGACCAAAAAATTTAACGATGCCACAAATAGTTAGGAAGAAAATAAAGATTTGGATATAAAGTAATTGAAATGTTTACTACATGAGAGCAAATCTATTAGGTTGTCCGGAAATTAATGCCCGTTTTGAATTTCAACCGCAATAAGTCATACACTCTTCACTTCTAAATAGATAGCAAAGTACCATTCGATAGAGCAAAGCAAGCTCTACAAGATGGCCATCTTGCTTTTGCAACAGCTTTGATCCATCTCGAGTTTCGAGCCAAAAACTAAAAAGACTCAGCAGCCCGAAAAATCGAAAAAAATCGTAACTCAGTTCATAAAAAACCTACAAAAATTCTAATTTGCTCGCGTAAACACTATCCACATAAGACATCAATATACGGCGTTGCCGTATTTTTTTCTCTGTTAGAAACCAAGAAAACGGAAGTTTTCGTGCATTTGCCAAAGTGATGCTGTGCCGTCCCCACATAGGTAGTTGTATACCACAAGCCTGAAAAAGTACAGACTTAAATATTCAGCTCTCTACAAGCTTTAGTTCTCGAGAAATTTGAATTTTAGCTTGGACCACTTAAGTAAGGAAAGCTATATTCGGTATTTCTTGAGAACTAAAGCTTGTAGAGAGCTGGAAATTTGAGTCTGTACTTCTACAGACTTGTGGTATACAACTACCTATGCGGGGACGGCACAGCATCACTTTGGCAAATGCACGAAAATTTCCGTTTCCTTGGTTTCTAACAGAGAAAAAAATACGGCAACGGCATATATTGATGTCTTATGTGGATAGTGTTTACGCAAGCAAATTAGAATTTTTGTAGGATTTTTATGAACTGAGTTACGATTTTTTTCGATTTTTCGGACTGGTGAGTCTTTTTAGTTTTTGGCTCGAAACTCGAGATGGATCAAAGCTGTTGCAAAAGCAAGATGGCCATCTTGTAGAGCTTGCTTTGCTCTATCGAATGGTACTTTGCAACCCATTTAGAGATGAGAAGTATATGACTTAGCGCGGTTGGAATTTAAAACGGGCATTAATTTCCGGACAACCTAATAAACTACATAAATTGACACGCTAGTACAAAAAAAGTATAAGAGAGCTTTTCCTCGAGGTTGAAAACATTGAAAAGGTGTTTGAAAAAAAACGCAATTATATACTTTGTCATAAGCCACTCAGGTTTGTTACAATGTTTATTTGGTCTAACGTTTCGGCAATTATGCCTTCCTCAGAGACCTGGAAGAAAGTCTTACATTTGTTTTTCACACTATGCTGTCAAATCTCTCCCCTTGACTAGTTAGTTCGATGCCTTACAGGTAAACGCATTAAGATCCTAAAACTGTAGGTAGCCTACCGTAACTTCCACCGATAGCGCGACTGTAGATGTTCAACTGCCACTGATGGTAACTGTGTCCGACCAAAATGGTCAGCATGAGTAATGGCCGTATTTATAAGTGACAGTATGATAGAAATGGCATCAAGTCACTGGTGATGGAGAGTTGTTCATTCTTTCCGTTTAATTTCGGTTCGCGCGAAAGAATGTATGCTGCGTCAAGCGCCTTGCGAGCAGCGATTCTCGATTCGTAACCCAGAATAATGCACCTGATGTTGTAGTCATTACCGTTGTGATCTACTTTTCTATGTTTCCCTAGCGGACTTGCCATGCTTGCCCGCCTTTTACTGGCCAAGTGCTCATTAACACCTACGCTGAGTTGTCGACCAGTCTCCCCTATGTACGTTGCGTGGCAATCTAGACATTCAATTTCGTAAACAATGCCAAACTTAGCACAGTCCCCCGTTTTTCCGTAAGGACAAATAACGCAGTTCATCGTAACACAAGCTGTGTCGTATAAACGATTACGTACTAACTGTCGCTTAATGTTGCTTCGCGGGATGTTAACGAGGACAACATCTTGCTCCAGCTGAGCCTGTATTATACAATTTTGGAACGCGTGCTTGACCTTGTCGGAAATGAATGGTAAACACAGTGGTACCCTGATGCCAATTTGGTTGTCTTTAGCAATTGCAGTACTTTTGGAATGTCTAGATTTTGATGGGAAGTAGCCATTAGAGGCTGCTACCTCATTTGCCAGCTTGAGGGATTCCTGTCGTTCACTCTCTCCACTGCAAACTTCGGTTGCCGTTTTGTACATATTCCGCAATACTGCTCGTTTTACGGCAGTCGAGTGGGCTGATTTTGCATGTAGAATGATATTCAACCCTCTCATCTGTGAATAGTACGTACCTGACCATTTGAAGACATTGCAATTAAGACATTTTCTGACCAGAGTCATTATGCGCGCTTTACTGAGTCCATACATCGAAACAGTATTACCATGTGCATCGAACAACCCAGAAAGCGCTTGTAATGCGTCACTGTCGGAGACGTTCGTGTATAGTGACGTTACATCAAATGACTTTATTGCACAGTCTTGATGGATCTGAGCATGGTGCAATTGGTCAAGGAAATGTCTGGTGTTCGTCAAATGGGCCGGTATTTTGTCGAGAAATTGGGTGACAATTTTACTCAGGAACCATGATATCCTATCGGTTGGTCCATTTACACAGCTGATGATTGGTCGAATTTTATAGACCGAGGCCGACACGGAGTGCATGTCACGCGCAGAGAACTTGTGCGTCTTCACGAGGCTGTAAAATACGGGGCAGCATGGGTTGTCAAGCTTAAGTCTGCTGAGGAACTTTTCGTTGACTCCCTCCACTCCAATAGAAACACCAAACACACAAATTTGACCCATGCACAATGGCTTGGATTCAGAGAGTTGAAAGGACTGATTGAGAGCGGAATCATACGCCTCTCTACTAGCGATAAAGGTGGGGAGTTCGTTGTCATGT